TATGCAACGTACAGGGACGCGTAAAACGTACTTGTGGAATGGAGGGTGTGTCACGGTGCTGAGATCTTTCAATACATAGACGAGCCTATTGCGGAGATAGGGGAGCTGGCTAAAGCCACCCACGAGGCAGACCGTCTGGGATGCCGTGGATAATTAGCCCTGCAGGCACAGGACAGGTCACCGCAGGTGCAATTACGTCGATAACCCTGGAATCTTCCCCTTCCACGCGCTCGGCGATGTCACCAAGGACCAGCTCGATGATCCCGTCGACAACCGGGTCCAGTATTGCCCGCATCTCGGCAGCTTCCACCTTGATTAGTCCAGTGTTGGGAAGCCTTAGGCGGGGATCCTGGATCCCCTTGAAGCCGTATTTGGCCTTCTCGAGGATTCCCATAGTTTCGACGAGATCGGAGAGCTGCTCAGTCGCGGCACCTATCGAGTAACGGGGGGAGTTTTCGAGGTGGCTCAGCAACCGACAATCGGCCTCTGCGCCGCCACAAGAGACCCCTAACCAGGGAATTAGGAATTAGTGTCTGTACCAGGATACTGCCGCTCTTGTCTCGGGCCATACCGGTGCTAGCGGAATTGAGAGTGAACACATTGTCGGAGCCATTATTGCTAATTTCAAAGGTTGTGATATCCTGCTGGCGTGTTAGAACCGCGGAGCTCATAGATGGCGATGGTACTTACTGACGTGGCTCCGCCACAGTCGCACACAAGGATCGATTCGGATTTGCCAGGCTAGCACAGAGTCCGCAATTAGCAAGGCCCACCTAGTCACAACGACCGAAAACACAGGGGAAGAGGAAAAGGGCAACCTGAAGCGGGCGGATATGTGAAAATTCGGCCAAAGCCGCTGCTTCGGCTTCTGGTATGATGAACACGTGGTCACCAGCACGTGTAAGGAAGCCCGCCCGGGCGATGGCGTTCATCATTAGATGCCGAGCATTCTCCGACCAGGTCGCCGGGACCGCAAACCAGAATTCGGTAGGTGGTATGTGGTCCATAAACTCGGTGCGTAGGTGTCTTAGAAGGTGTTCGTGAATCTGCCTGAGGAAGTCCCCAATCACTGTTTCTGGCTTGGCACTACCCTGCGCGATGGTGAAGAGCCCATGGCTCACCAGGCGGGCAAGCAGTCCGGACTGGAAGGGCTGACTGTCGGGAGAGCCGGCATTCAGCAGGACCTTCGTCCATGAGTAGCCGGGAGCAGCGCCTCCACTCGCATCATCTCCCCACAGGACTTGCTGGCCGTCTCCATATGCAATCTTAGACGGGGTGAACGGTGCGTTACCAAAGGGCACGACGTTGATTTCCTTCGCCCGTGGATCATTGGGGTCCCAGAGGGAGTATGCGACACCTATAGAAGCCCGAGCATCAGAATTCCGATGAGCCAAAATGCTACCACCAAAACAATGAAACTCATTGTCAAGAGAGGTCGACCCACACGTCTTCGTGGTTCCGTAGTCCAATCCTACTATTAGCTTCAGTCCGAGGTCTGCGGCCATGGCGCGTACAGAGAACTGGGCAGCCTGTATCAGCTTGTTCTGAGCAGGGGGCCGGGCGGTTGGATGATAAACGAAAGACTTCACAGGGGAGAAAGGATCGGAAGGATGAAGATGGTACTAGTTGACTGAGCAGTCGGGGATATATACAACTCCTGGGTATTTTAGACAGCGAAGCTGCACCCCTATACTCCTCTTGACGGGTCCTGGAGAGAGCAGCATCCCGCAGCGTTGAGACAGGGGGCGAAAAAAAAAATGAAAATAAAAGAACAAAGAAAAAAGAACAAAGAAAAAAGAACAAAGAGCGCAGGATGAGGTCAAACCCCCCTGGGATCAGCAACCAGACACTCCAAGAGACGCAGGCGAACAAAGACCAGGATCTGCCGACCAAACGCCGTGCTTCACTTGCCTGCCATAAAGAAGGAGCACGTCCTGCGCTGTTTCCAACCAACTTTCGGAACCACCTCTCGTTCTTCTTGTACCTTTCTCGTTTGCCGGCAAATCTCCGTTAACATCATGGCCGAGACTCGTTCTGGATTGAAAAGAAAGGCAATCGCGGCCCTCGTCCCTGCTCCACGGGAACCGTCACCCACGTCGGAGCAGATTGAGACAGAGCACCAGTTCGTCACCAAGTATGGGACGGATGCTGTTCGCCGACCGTACTTCAAGGAGCTCATGGATGGCGCTGCCAGGCTTTTCAAACAAGGAGCCATCGAATGGGTTCACGACTTGACTCAGCTCCGCCACTTTTACATGGAGCTCTCGGTGTTGATTGCTGGTTGGTCCATGGATTATCTCATTGATGATCTCGATTTCCTACCGGAGGATCGCATTCGCCATGTCATCGCGGCTCTTGACGGGTTCTGCGTGCAAACAGACTGGGCGGCCTTGCGCCCGATGCTCCCTCCCACCATTAGAGAAAACTCTGCCCACATCTTTGGCGAGCTGGTTCTCTACCTAACGATCAAAGAGCGTCTGTTTGAAAATTCTTTCTGGTACCTTGATGGCAAGCGCGGTCCCAGTAACGCCGGCGAGGACCCCACCTTCGCGGAGAAGTTGAATTACCTCTTTGAGCGTTTCTACGAAAGTACGTCCCTGGAATCCACTCACCTGTTGCCCTACGCTGACAAGGGGGAATAGCCAACCCGCAGTACGCTGTACTGTGGAGGATGCAAACGCAGCGGCTGGCAAACTCGCCCTCCTATCACTACGCCCCGAATCCCAAGTTCGGAAAGGCCAACGAGGAACGACATGAGGCTGCACTCCCCGCCCTTGCCGACAGCGTACTCAACAGCGAGCCCATCTGTTGGCTGCTAAAGGCGGGGTTGACCTCGGCCGAAGCGGAGGCCCAGCGAGCCGAGCTCATAGATGTCTTCCGCAAAGCTGTGCGGACAATGCTCTGCTGCGAGACTTGGACAAATGGCATACCCGTCTTCCGGGGCATCGAGGAGCTGGGTGGTGTTTTTCGGGGCAAGTCGGAGTTTGTTTCGCTTCACCCATACACCTATAGGCTGCGGAGGGACCTGTACATCAACCAGAAGATTATCGTCGTTGCGCGACCGGGTCTTGTCTACGTGGATACCATGCGGGGGAGCTACCTCCAGATGAAGCCAGGAGCTGTCGAGGTCGTTGGCGCCGAGGTCATCCCAAAGTACGTGGAAGAGGCAACTCAGGGTACCGCAGATGGGGGAATGGATGTGGTAAAGGATCAGGATGGGGAGAAAGATGAGGATGCGGGGGATGAGACGGACGTGACGGGGGATGAAGATGAGGGTGAGGACGATGAGGACGATGAGGATACTGAGGCGGACGGGACCTAGGCTGGCGATGACAAGGACTGGATGGAGGGAGGGAGTGATTGTTAGGTACCCTGGCTGGTTGATCAGCGCTTCTATGTGTTGTTTTACTCCTGCTGTGACTTGTTTGATCTTTTACATGGTACACCCTACGCACTTCAAGACTGGATCAGTCTAGTTATAGCTTCCTCACTTAATTTCCTCGCTCAACTCCCATAGGAACGGCGCTGTCGCGCAGAGCGCACTGCGCTTCAGGAAGCCTTGAAGGGGCTACAGCTCTGGCAATCATCCAAGTCTCGACTCTCGACCCTCAGCTGCCTTGCCCGCGGCTGGCGGCACCGCGAGGTTGCACTGGTTGAGAAAGTAGTATGGATAGAGTTGCACGGACAGCCCAATTTCTGGAGGCATATTATGATTTAAAATAATCTCAGCCCACGCGAAACCCACGCAAGTCAAAGCAACATCCATAGGCTCTTCATTAATCTCATCCACCCGGCCCCGGTGCCACGGTAATGAGTAAAAAACCTCAACCCACAAGCAGCGACTCCTGCCACCTCTCCTCCAAATGGAGGTCCATCCCCATCGCAACAGCATGCCAGGTCGAAACAATCTCAAAGCGCCTAGGGTCGACGATCCTCCCCTCGAACCGCCTCAGAAACTCCGGGACAAACTTGGTCAACTCCAGCATCGCAATAATCTTACCAATACAAGCGCGCTTTCCGGCCCCGAATGTCAAAAGCGACGTCTCCATAGCGCGCGCCTGGTCCGCGGGGGCTTCAAGCCACCGTTTCCGTCAGAACTGCAACGCATGCAGCAGCTACGACGTCAATCTGTCCAGCTACGGGCAGAATGTGAGTGAAACACAACCCTCCGTAGTGTTGTTACTGAGAAGTAAGGGCTAATAGCTTGTTAATGGACGGACTGGACGTAGAGTGGCAGGCTCATCCGGCTATTTCAGCGTGGATTCTCAACTGAAGGGCCGTTGCGGAGAACCATACCACCCCCACTGACCCCCTCTCAGATATAATTCCAGCTCTAGAGCTGGACATCTCGGCCGACACAAATACATCAGCCTGTTGACAGACTACGTTGTCCGGCGTCCAGTTCCGCTCTGAACGTTTACAGCCCGTGGGTGGCTTGACCACTACCCCTTAGACCTTTGCCTCCCCGAGGTCAAGACCCCATGGGGTAATAGGGTAAGTGTGGCTTAGTGGACTCAATCAAGATCAAATAACTGCACCTTCGTGGATTAATGAAGCGGCAGCAATAAGTGCAGTGATACTAGCATCGTCAGGACGAGATGAGAACCTTCCAGTCAAGCGCTACGCATGCCGTGCTACAGGACATGTAGATAGTCACACAAGGTTGCTGTCCGCGCTGCAGTTTGTTGATGGATTAGTAGTACCATGCTATTTGTGCTATAAACTCAACATGTACAGGAACAGAAGAGAACCAAGCAGGGCGGCTGTATGACAAATGGTCTGTTCTCCTTTATATACTATAAAAGCCAGCAGTGAAAATGCCCTGCAGGCTGCTTCTCAGCAACAAATAGCAAGAAGGTCTGTGTGACTAACTTTATGTCTCCACTCCCGCGTGGCGCCACAAAGGAAACAATAAAACCGGATAAAACAAAAAAAATAAAATAAAAAAGGAGTGGCCGCGAAATTGGCAAAAAACACGCGTTTTCTTTTTTCATTGGGAATGGAGCTGGAGGGAATCGAACCCCCGGCCTTTCGCACACATGACCTGCGTAGTTGACCTACAATAGGTGCCCTGCAAAGCGAACATTATACCACTAAACCACAGCCCCGTTTAGATAAAATGGGCTTTCTTTTTTGGGTCTGACTTAGACGCAGGCATTAACAATAATGAATTCAACTCTACCATCAAAGTACCCTCATGCTAGAAATTGACAGGTTTAGATTATGACTGGAATGCAAGGCACTTCCGTCGGGAAAAGACATACATAGATTGTCGGCGCCGTTTGCAGGGTCCGGGGCGCCACATCTGCTGGGCTGGGGTGTTTGCAGCGGCACCGATCGAAGACGCAGCCGAAGACCCCGGTCGTGATGTGTATGCAGGTGACCATCTGTTTAGATCAGTGGTTACATAGGGCGCATCTAGCGTCTAGGATCATCCCTGAAGGTGACAGATTCATGCCCGTCATTTTACCGCTTGGTCTCCTCGTGGTTTTCATAAACATGCGTCCTGATTTCTGCGACGCTGAAACTATATATCTCTGATCTCTGCGCGGGCGGCACTTGTCCAGAGACTTTGCACATTCCATGCCAAGCAGATTGCCCGATGCAACTAACATCAACTTTAAACACCCCCCTTGCCGGACATCATTATACCTTCCCGCAGAGAAGGAGCTACGGGCCCAGACAGTTGCGTCGAGACTCGGGCGGGGGTGGGGGGAGGCACCTTAAGGTTATTATTGCATAACACCTTCATACCCTTCCAAACACGCAACGCAATACTGTAAAAAAAAAACATCACACTTCAAATTGACAGGAGAAGGCCCAAGACTATGCCATACTATACAGAGCGAAACAGAGAGACGGCCGTTCACTCCGCTACCAATTCTTCCACCCGCGGAGCATCGCCTTATCCCAGAACTCCCCAACTGTATCGTAGGCGGGGTGCCGGTTCTGAAACATGTTGTCGCCGAAGGTCCGGACCTCCCGCCCGTCCCAGAGGGGATCGTCGTGTGTCATCGTGCAGCGGGTTTTCGCGATTGGGGGTGGCGAGTCGCGGGTTGGGGTTGTGGTGGTCTTTTCCTCACCGGCACCACGATCATCACCACCACCACCACCACCACCATCGCCGGTGGGTACATCGCCTTCCATATCCTCGCCAAAACCAAACCAGTCTCTCTCCCAGCCCTCGAGCTCCCCCGCGGTCCGACCGGCCCCCCAGCCAAATTCAACAACCCACACCACCCACCCCGGGTCCCGCCCGTCGACGGCAGCGCCGGGATAAGGTACATCCTCACAGATAAATAACATCTGGTACGAGGTACAGCTCATCGAGTACCCATTTACCATACCAGGGAGCGTGCCAGGGGGTCCCGGAGGCCCCAGCGGCGGATCCGCGCGCCGCGTCTCCCGATACCTTGCAATGGCCTCGTTGAAGCTACCTCGGACGGCCAGCTCGCCGCGGTAATGCTCCGTGCAGTCGGTATCAGCGCCGCCAGGCAGGAAGTAGAAGTCCAGTCGCCAGATATCGGGCATGCCGACCCCCAGGTCCGTGGAAAGGGCTGCGCCGTAAAAGGCCCTGAGGGTGTCGGCGATATTCGGGTCATGTGGGTCCAGATCCCGATGCGTGAGATACACGGCGAATGAGTAGAGCTTTGGGAGGGGACACTCCTCCGGAGCTTCGAAAACCATGTATGCGCGCGTGCCGCGGTGGTCAGTGAAGGGGAGGCAGTGGATTGTGCTCGGCCCGAAGTGCATGTCCTCCGCGTCGCTGGGCTCAGGGTCGGATTCCAGCAATCGCTCGAGCCGGGTCATAGTGGCTTCGTATCGCTTCGTGCCGGACAGTCGAAGGCGATATGAATCGAGCCATAGAGCCGGGTTGGTCCCGCCTTCGGGGAGCGTGAAGCTTAGATCCACGATATCCTGCGTGTAGTAATTTCTGCGTACAAAGGAGATGACTACTCCCGTGGCGTGGAGGGCGTCTTTCAAGGGATGGGTCTCTGTCGAGGCACGGGTCAGAAGAGAGCCGTTCATTTCCTCGACGGTGATATGCTTGAGGGATGGAAAATTTGTTGCTAAGAAGGACGTCCGCTATTTGGGAGTCTAAATCGTAGATCTCCTGGAGGCCGTTGCCCCCGTAAAAGGTCAGTGTCTGCAGTCTAGATGGGAGGGCATCCTGGAGCCGAATAGACGAGTGCGGCGACCGATTGGAAGCTCCCAGCAATGTGCCCGGCTGAAGGAATAGCTGCCTGAGCTGTGTAAATGTTGTAAGCGGAGGAAGATGGCCAACCTGTTTAAGATAAAGATTTCCTTGGCGATAGATATCGAGTACCTGCAGTGACTCGAGGCGCCTTTCCAGGATTGACCAGAGATCGGAATTGGATACGAGAAGGGTGTCATCATCTGAACCCATGGTCTGACGCTGATCATCAAAGGTAAAAGAGAATGCACACAACCCTCGCATGGTTCCCATGAAGGCCTGAAAGTCTTCAAACGCCGCCTCCGAACGCGGGGTACAGACCAGGGTTAGATCTTGGATACTAGTGTGCCCCTCCCCCTCCAACATCTCCGACACTCCGTAAAAGTCCACTTCATAGAGGCCAAGCGTGCGGAGGGCGGGGAGGAAGATAAGCGGCCAGACATTGTTCAGCCGCAGCGGTGCGCTTGTGCCATAACCGTTGGCCAGGTCTAGGTTGGTTTCGATAAAGACTTCACACCACAGGCGGATGGAAGACAGATGGGCGAAGGGAGGGAGAGGTGCCCTACCAGCCGCGTCCCAACTTCTGTGCTGCGCTAGAATATGGCGGAGGACGGAGCTCAGGACGGGGTCGGTCTGCGGCACATGTGCATCAAGCGAAGTAAGATTCCGCAAGCAGGTTAGCAAGAGCGCCATAATAGGCCGCCGATCACCGCGTGCGACGGCCTCGAGAATCTCCTCCTCTTGGCTTTGCAATCCAACTGCGCGAATGGCGTCGCGCATTGTATCGAGACCCTCATTTCCCAAGTCATAATCGAACTCACGACCAAAGGCCTCGTACTCGTTGAACCCCCAGTTTCCGATGACTAGCGTTTTGACCAAGCCAGCAATCTCAGGGCAGCGATTTACTGTCAGGAAAAACATCCAGAGATAGTGAAAAGAGTGCCGGGCTCCATCATAGGTCCATTTGCCGTACACACGGGGGAGCAGGAACCGGTGCCATTTACGATCGAGCAACGAAAGCTGGCAAAGATAAGAAGCGGTGCAGTCTGCCAGTGCGTGATTCAGCACCAAGTCAAAAACCTCTGGCGGGAGGTCTGCGGGGTTTCTCATGGCGAGGTTTCCTGGTCCTGTCTTTCCTAGGATTCTCGTCACCGGGCGGGATTGGGCGGCTGCTAGTGGGATGCAATTGACGGGAAGATTGGCTCAATAGCTTTCGAATCAGGATCTACCGCCCCGCTCGCTAGAATGGACTGTGCAGTGATGAAACGGAGATGGACCGGGTGATGCGAAAATCGGGGAGGGGGCTGGGTTTGGCGGCTCTTGAAATACGAGCCCGTGCTCCCGCCTGCTCGGCGGCTGCGCGATTCGTACTCGATTGCGTCCGGATCGACAGGGTCTTAGCAACCGCGGAGACTATTGCGCAGGAGTCAGGACTGGCATAAAGTCGTTAGAGTCGGATCTACGCAAGATTGGGGTCCAGTTGGGGCGAATTGGGCTGTAGAGATGGATCGTGGCACCCGAAACCCAGATATCAAATCTTAATGGATGCTACAATGGCGCCTAGAGGCTCCTATTTCAATAATAATGATGCCCCTGGTCACTCCTCCAACTGATGCAAAGGGCTGCATAGCCTGCCAAGTCGCGTGGCGTTGTACTCCAACTCCAACGCGCCATAGTCCGCCAAGCAGGCGGCGATGGATCAGGCATTGCCTGCTGGGGGTCGGATTTAAGCGCCGGCTTATCCCTCGTTCTTTTCTGACTTTCTCCGCATCTCTCGCAACGCCCACAATGGGCGGCAGCCTTCCCTTCGAGCTCGTCGCTCAAATAGCCCATTATCGACGGCTTGACCTTCAAACCTTCCTTACCCAATATGCTCTGGTCTGTCGGCAGTGGCAGGCAGCCTTCGAGCCACACATCTACGACAGGATCTGTGTCCACAGCGAGGATTTCAAGACCGGAAAGGGCAATATCTCGCTCGCTCACTACCGCGCGATAACCTCCAACTCGGAGAACGCCCGTGCCCGACTCAGGATGATCAGGGAGATTCGGTACCGCGTGATCCTGCCGTTCGAGCTGCCCGACTATCAAGCCGTGATTACTCGGAACCCCGAAGCTGAGCCGACCTATACACCAGACAACGCCACGAGACGCGCCAACAACGCCGCGTTCCAAGCCGCAATCGTGGAATTCCTCGACTTCCTAACCAAGGTACCCGCCGAGACCCGCCTAACGCTTAAAATCGAAACCCTCGGTCGCGAGGTGGGCCGCGAGCCAGACACAGAGGTGCCGTTGGACCCCTGGGGCAATCCCGACGAAGCGCGAGGCCACTGGGTCGTGCGCCCATACCGGGCCGAGTTCGCTGACAGCAACTGCGTTCTCCCTCGTGTGCTCTGCGTGGACCGAATTGTCGCCGATGGGGCCTGGTACACCTTTGAGAGAGACCCGGGCCATGAACCGTCTCTGGATACGAAGCGCGTCCGGCTCGAGGCGGCGTGCTCCATCGCGCGGGCCTGTCCGACTCTGTCGAATTTTCGATGGGAAGTGGATGATGTTGCTCAGCCGGAGCATTTGGATTATGCGGTGGAGCGACGGAGAGGTAGGGCGCTGTTTCATTTGCTAAATTGTTTAAGTTGGAAGCGAAAGATTGTAGAACGCGCTAATCATCAGACTGGAACAGCCTTTGCAGAGAGCCTCCTCGACCTCCCCGCGACGCTTCAAGCACTTGATGTCAGTTCTCTCAGTGCGCAAGTCCTACACGACAGTCTTCCAGCACCAGTCCTGTTCGCCGATGGAAATGATATCCTCTCGACGAATCTCCGCCACATCAGCGTCCGGCTCCGTCGTCTGCATCTTTACGATGTGCCCGTTGCAAACGATTTCCTGTGCCCTCTCGACGAGAACGGCGAACCGCGG